TGGCTGCAATTAACAACTCAGGAAACAACAGATGTTGGCAAGGATGAAGAGAAAGGGGAACCCCTTTGCACTGTTAGTGGGAATGCCAACTGGTGCAGCCTCTCTGGAAAACAGTATGGAGGTTCCTCAGAAAGTTAAAAATAGAACTACTCTATGACCCAGCAATTGCACTACTAGGTATTTACCCAAAGGATATAAACATACAGATTCAGAGGATTACATGCACCCTGATGTTTACAACAGCATTATCAACAATACCCCAAATATGGAAAGAACCCAAATATGGATAATGGATAAAGAAGATTTTGTACACACACACACACACACACACACACACACACAATGGAACATTACTCAGCCATCGAAAAGAATGGAATCTTGCCATTTGCAATGACATGGATGGAGTTAGAGTGTATTGTGTTAAACAAAATAAGTCAGTCAGAGAAAGAGAAGTAGCATATGATTTCACTTACATGTGGCATTTAAGAAACAAAACAGATAAGCATTTGAGAAGGGAAAACAAAGAAAGAGAGGGAAGCAAACCATAAGAGATTCTTAAGAGAACAAACTGAGGGTTGCAGGAAGGCAGGTGTTGGGGGGGGGAGGTTGGGCTAAATGGGTGATGGATATGAAGGAAGGCACTTGTGATGAGCACTGGGTGTTATATGTAAGTGATCACTAGATTCCACTCCTGAAACCAATATCACACTATATGTTAACCATAATTTAGACAAAAATTTGAAAAAAAATTTAAAATGAATATATCCTCGCATTCAGATCAAAATATCCAAGGAAGTAGGATTCTTAGAAATCCATTCCAGCATCTTCCATCCTATTAGAAGTCCATTTTACATACACTGGAATTCCTTAAAAAAAAAGAAAAGAAAAGAAAACACTGCTGTTCTTTGTATGTGTCCTTTCAGAGCTGGTTTTAGCACTTCTCCTAAGACACTGCAAACATTTTAGTCCCTAGTTCAAACAGCTGGCTGTAATGGACCTGAACTCATGTTTCACTGTGAGACTTAGAAATTAGTAATGATCCTGCTTGCTATTAAGTAAGAACTCATATTCTGGCAAGGTAGTGCTCTGTCAACATACATCAAAATGCTTACTCCCTAGTGACCTTCTCCTCTTTGCATATATTCACAAGAGTTATAAAACAAATGCCAAATGCTGAGCAATAAAAAAACTTCAGTTTATATTTCAAACGTCAGTTGCTCTACAAAAACACAAAATAATATTGCCAAAATATGAAACAAAGAGAAGTACGAATAACTTCCCTAATGACTTCCTTTTTTCCAGGAGCTCTTGGATCACTCACTCAAAGGACTTGACCCTATATTCTAAAAACTGTCATTCTTAACTTCTGCCAAATGAAAAAAGCAGAGGTCAAAGACAAGGGCTCTTCTAAAATGCACTGCTATTTAAGGACTCCTTCATGATCAGAGTTTAAAGCCAGCAGATTTCAATGAAGTACTACAGCTCATCTGGCTATCTAGGATAAGTTTTTATTTTGCAAAGATAGGGGTGTGTCTTAGGTATAGAAAGAGACCTCATCTTGCTTTACATTTGGCTGTCAGAGACATGATGAAATTTGCTAGATGCAACCTCCTTTGTCTTTGTTGTGCATGTCTTTGGCCTTGACCTAAACTGTGCTAACCTTTCAAAGTTAAACCTCCTACCACTTCCCAACATATACCTTAAGCTTCTATCATATTTGAAATTTTCAGTTATTTAGATATGCCAAGGTCTTTTACATTTCTGCGTCTTTGTACACAACCTTTCTCGATCTGTATGTATTTCTCCTTCCTTTTCTACCTTGAGGAAAACTACTCATTCTCCAAGAAACTGATCATGCAATTCCCTTGGTGAAACCTTCCCAAATTTCCCTCCTGGCTCCCTCCTCTGTTGCCTTTTGGGGAAACCCTGGTTATAGCACTTAGGATATTATATTTTAAGTGTGTGTGTGTGTGTGTGTGTGTGTGTGTGTGTGTGTGTGTGTGTATGCATGCGTTTCTCCCCTGCAGCCAGGCTGTGAGTTCTTTGGGGCAGCCGACTTCATTCATCTTTGTATATTTATAGCTTGGTAGCTTCATAAATGCTGATCAACTGAGTAAAGAATCAGAATTGAGACTTCAGGTGTTTGACTCCAAGTACTAACCTCTGGACTGTTAAGATAAAGAAAACTGAATGTAATACGTTGTAATGTGTTGGATATTCCATTTATAGCATTTGAAAAGGTTTGACACAAAAAAAAATTGAAGAATTTTATATACCAAAGGAAGCATCAATTATGTCCTATCTTCTTTTAAATACAAACAGGCTGTATATCAAAATTTTCTTCCTCTCGGGGTATTAGAGCCTATACTCTATAAATTTTGTTCATGGTTTATAGAGTATAGAACCCTCTGGAGCCCAGCCCCCCACCCCCACCTCATTGAGCTTGTGTGCTCAGGGAGGTCTTTACACACTGAGGGAATGTTAATACTCAAGCTTTATGGAAGATTGACTGTAGAAAAATTAACTGATGAAGCCCAGGACCATAGGAAGAGAATTATGGTATCTGTGGCTATTTATCTCCAAGAAGATTTACTATCTCACCTGAAGACATACGCTGCTGTGTGACAGGAATTTATTTACAGTTCAAGCCTGACCTTTTTCCATGTTGAGGGAGATTGCATTACTGGGTAGCTTGGGGATTTATTGTCCCTGTTTAGCCGCAGTGACATTTCCTGACTATTGGCTGCAGAAGCCCTTCTGAGCTCAAGCACAGAAAATCCTGACCCTGATGTCCCACCTCTACCTAGGGGCACATTTCTTGGGGCAAAGTATTAATAGGTTTAAAGGACAAAGTTTCTTGGAAGAGAGCAAGAGCACAGGGGACAGACAGAGTGATGCCTTGCCACCTCCTGTAGAAATCAAGACGAGTAAGTTCAAATAGAGTTGGGTCCCTAGAAGCCCTGCAGGGTGAGAAGACAGGTGGCAGATGTGAGGATGTGAAACCACAGGAAAATGAAATAGGACCCCCCTCTCTCTGTCCCCTTTGGTGTCCCTTTGCACCAGATCAAGTCACAGCACCAGTTTTCCAAACCAGAGAAGCAATTCTCAAACTGGCTTCTGCTTCAATTTCAGGGAATCTTTATCCATATACTGAACAAATGCCAAGCAGCTCCCTGTATCCCAGGTATATTTTAAACTTCCTTTTGCTAAATCCTTATTTTTCTTTCTTTTTCCCTCCCCTCTCACCCTTTCTATAAACCTTGGGAGTTTTTTAAAAATATTTTTAAAATACTTCCAAGGAAATTCCAAATTAAAAAAAAAAATACCTCTCAGACTAAGAAAACACAACGTATTCGTAATTGTGATTAATAAAACCAATGTTCCCAATTAAATTAGATAGTGAAATTGATTCAATATAGGGATATTTTTAACTGAGAGAACTGTTTATATGAACTGAATTTATTTTTTTTAATGTTTTTAATGTTTATTTATTTTTGAGAGAGAGAGAAAGAGAGAGAGCAGGGGAAGGGCAGAGAGAGGGAGACACAGAATCCGAAGCAGGCTCCAGGCTCAGAGCTGTCAGCACAGAGCCCGACGTGGGGCTCGAACTCACAGACGGGGAGATCATGACCTGAGCCCAAGTATGACGCTTAACTGACCGAGCCACCCAGGCTCATATGAACTGAATTTAAAGAGTCACTTCAAGTAGAGCCTGCCTGACTTCATTAGATTCACAGAGATAAATATCATATGCAGCAAATAGCCAAGAGAATGTCGATTCCAAGACTGCCTTTCCCCTCTGCAGTGTGTTCCATTAATCGCAGTCATATATAAAATTTCAAGCCACAATTGGACAGGAATTACTGTGTTCTTCCAACGGCATTTCTTTTTAAAATTACATGCGTCTTTCATTCATGTTGCAAGTTACATCTACTGCTTCAAAGTATGGAATGAAAAGCTAGAAAGAAATCTAGTTATCATCTTGGACAGAGTTTTTCCAACCCATTTGTTAAGCAGAGAAACTCCTCCCACCCCCGCCCCCAAAGGCACAACAAACTTAAAAAAGCAGAGTTTCTCATCAGGAAGGTCTTAGAGACCCATTTCTTTGGGGCTTCCTCCCTTCCTTGCTATTGGCTGGCCCCCAGCCCAAGAGCTCCTGGAATATCAATGTAGGGTATAGAAGTTGAAAGCAGACATCTGGGGGAAAAAAAAACCCTCTCGTTTTATGGTTAAAACGAATCCACAATAGTTAAACTACTTTCTTAAATGGACACAATCAGCTGGTTGCTAACCTGAAACTAGAATCTAGGTGTCTACGACACCAAACTAAACCAAGCAGTAATTTGCTGCTGCCTTCATTATATTTTTGATTATATAATTCAATATAGCAGTTAATGAACATCTGTCAAGCCACAGTCATGGTGTTTCTTCTGTTAAAAATAGAACTGTTGTACTACTCACAAGAGCCAAGGTGTGGAAACAACCTGTGTCCATCAGCAAATGAATTGATAAAGAAGATATGATATATGTACATACACGCAATGGAATATAAAGAAGATATGATATATACACATACACGCAATGGAATATTAGCCACGAGAAGGAAGGAAATCCCACCTTTTGTGACAATATGGATGGAACTTGAGGACATTATGCTCAGGGAAATAAGCCAGAGAAAGGCAAATAGTGCATGGTGTCGCATATATGTATCATCCTTTTTAAAAAATCAAACCCATGAAAACAGAATCGAAAAGTAGCCAGGGGCTGGGGGTTGGGGAAAATAGGGAGAGGTTGGTAAATGGGTACAAACTTTAAGCTATGAGATAAGCACGTCTGAGGATCTAATGTAAAACATAGTGACTGTAGTTGATGACACTGGATTGTATAACTAAAATTTGCGAAGAGAGAACTTAAATATCCTCACCAAAATAAATAAATAAGGAAACAAATAAATAAAAAGTGAGGTGATGGATGTTTTAATTAACTAGACAGGGGGAATCTTTTTGCAATGTGTAAGTTTTTTATTGTCACCATGATGTACATTTTAAATATCTTATTTTACATGTGAATGATATCTCAATAAAGCTGAAATTTTAAAAAAATTAGGCGTATTCCACATAATCTATCGCCATGTATCTCCACCAAGAACAACCCTCTGATTGTCAAATTTGTCTTATGAACAACTAATAATGATTTAAAAAGCATTAAAAAATATAAAGTGCATAATTGAGACATAAGAATATGAAGTTGTTTCCTAAAACTGAGAACACGGATCCTTAAGTCTTATTGCCTAAACACTGGGTACCTGTCTATGTAACAGTTGCCTCTCGCCAGACATCACTGATATAATGTCACAGACAAAAGAGGGCAGCCAATGACACAAAGAAGCAAATATGGTCCACAATTGAAGTGGTGTCTTCAGACATTCAGATGTTCAGAGTGGCGGCTGGCTGTATGTTTGTTGTTTGTTTTCTACAGTAAGCTTGTATTTCTCACCATTTACATCAACCCTGAACTTAAGGTAACTATTTCCTGTCACTGTTCATTTTACTTTGTCCTGGAAAAAAAAGAGAAAAGGAGATAAGGCATTTCTGGTATAGTATAAAGTGATCCAAGCTAATTAAATGCAGTAAGAAAGAGCCAAGTGACGGATTAGCCTTTCATCCCATTAGCCCACATGCATAAACCAAAGTCATAAACATTTAGCAAGTTCTTTGTCATTTATTTTAATGCTTTTTAAATGTGCTAAGGAGAAAAAATTTATGAGGTGTTTCTACAGCATTCTGGTTATGAAGGTTCTATTTATCAATAGCTAATTTATTTCTATAATGGAATACCAGGTTACCAAGAAAGCTTCCTATAATAAATATGAGGAATTAATGTAAGAGTCACTAATTATTGAATAATATAGGTAAGAATATAAGTAGTTACTGAAAAAAAATTATATGTACTGAATCTGCAAAAAACAATATAAGGAGGTATTAGGTATTTTAGGGGAAAGACCGATTTTTAAAAACCACACAGGTAAGACAAATACCATATGATCTTATTTACGTGTGGAATTTTAAAAACAAAACAAAACAAGAAAACCAAGCTCAGAGATCCAGAGAACAGATTGGCGGTTGCCAGAGGTGGGATGGAGATTGGGCAAAATGGGTGAAGGAACTCAAAAGTTACAAACCCCAGTTATAAAATAAATAAGTCACGGGAACGTAATGTACAGCATGGAGAATATAGTTAGTCACATTGTATTGCATTATTTGCAAGTTACTAAGAGAGCAGATCTTAAAAGTTCTCATTCCAAAAAAAAAAACTTCTGTAACCACGTATGCTGACAGGCGTTAACTAGCCTTATTGCGGTGATCATGTCGCAATATATACAAATATCAAATCATTACATTGTACACCTGAAACTAATATCATGTTACATGTCAATGATACCTCAATAAAAAATAATAACAAAATTAAAATGCTAAAAAGTTACACAGGTTCAAAATTTTCCCATAAATAAAGGGTTCCAAAGCTCAGTTTACCATCCACTCATTAAAAGCCTAAATTCCAGTCCAAAGAATTTAGCACCACCCCAGCAAGGTTACTGTAATAGGATTTAAAGGATTACCACGATATATCTGTTAGGTAAAAATGACTATGTCACATTTGCTGGGAGGTTTACTTTAGTTAACCTATTAAGTCAAACGTAGTCACATAAGTTTAATCCAATAAATCCAAAGCTTCATTATCACCAGCAGTTTGCTAAACTTGATAAATTAACCTGGCATTCCATTATTTAAAAATACCTTAATAGAAACAAAAATCGTAAATAATTTTAAGTAATTCACCTGTTTTCTGTGTGCACACTGCTCCAGCATCGTCCCAGCTAAGGTTCGCTGGACCTTATGTTACACAACCAAGTTTTTATCCATAAGGTGGCTGAAATTGATGACCATTCTTCTCAGTCACAGGTGGTGATCTTATAACGGACCACACAATTTCTTTGCTATAACCACCTAACTCAGCTTGATTTGAGTGTTTATGGGGCCAATGCATCCTGACCAAAGGAGAGACGGTAGCAGTGAAAAATACTTGACATGTATTGAGGAATATTGAAAGTATATGTCAGTGCAATTCTCAACATTCCTTTATGTCGCAAGGAAAACCCAGCCCCAGGCAATGGAGGAGACCCTCAGAAGATCCACTAAGTAAGGCACTCCTTTCTCAACCGGTTCTAAGATGAACCAAGCTGCAAGCAACCCAGCTGCTCACAGAAAGTTACTAAGCAGGTCAAACCACAGACATAATAGTCAAAGACCCTATTTGGTCTGCCCTCCTTTAAAACAATTCAGTTCAAGTCTTCGAATATGTCTTTGAAGTGTGCCCGTTGTGCATGCTAAACACCAAAATTCTATTGAGGAGACAGGATATGCACAAAAGTGCTCCAGCGGGCTGTGGCATGGTAACTAGAATACAAAAGGTACATAAGTCATGGTTGACAGTACTAGGTAATCTCAGAGAGATTAGACAGTCTGAGAAGGCCTTCTGAGAAAAGGGGGTTTGGCTCGCCCTTAAAGACAGGAGTGATACTGGGGTGCCTGGGTGGCTCAGTCGGTTAAGCGTCCGACTTCGGCTCAGGTCATGATCTCACGGTCTGTGAGTTCGAGCCCCGCGTCGGGCTCTGTGCTGACAGCTCAGAGCCTGGAGCCTGCTTTGGATTCTGTGTCTCCCTCTCTCTCTCTCTGACCCTGCCCCTTTCATGCTCTGTCTCCGTCTCAAAAATAAATAAACATTAAAAACAATTTTTTTTTAAAGAAAGGAGTGATATTCTAAAGGTAGAAAAAATAGGATAAGGCATTCCAGGCTAGGGACCCAGAATAGCAAATCTATAAAGGTGATGGTGACCAGGTCTCATTCAGAAGATAACAGGGACATTTTCCTGAAGACAGGGCACCTGTCAGGGTGTTGATGTTGGGGGAGGGGCAAGCGGATAGTAAGGGTCTTCATTGCTGCAATGATGACTTTAAATTTCGTTTAATAAGGCCCCCATAAAAATGAAAATATCATGTCAAATATGTCTTCTTCCAGATTTTTATTTAACTGCTAGTTAATTAACCTACAGTGCAATATTGGTTTCAGGAGTAGAATTCAGTGACTCGTCAATTGCACACAACACCCAGTGCTCATCCCAACAAGTGCCCCCCTTAGGACCCATCACCCATCTAGCCCATCCCCCACCCACCTCCCTCCATCAACCCTCGGTTTGTTCTCTAAGAGTCTCTCATGGTTTGTTTCCCTCTTTTTCCTCCTTCCTGTATGTTCATCTGCTTTGCTTCTTAAACTTCACATATGAGTGAAATTATGTGGTGTTTGTCTTTCTCTGACTGACTTATTTCACTTAGCATAATACATTCTAGCTCCATCCACATCATTGCAAATGGCAAGATTCCATTCTTTCTGGTGGCTGAGTAATATTCCATTGTATGTATATTCCATGTCTTCTTTATCCATTCATCAGTTGATGGACATTTGGACTCCCTCCATTGTTTGGCTATTGTTAGTAGTGCCGCTTAAATTATGTTAAATATTATCCCATTTATGATTGAAGAATAGGCAGAGGTGCATATTTATCCCCACATAAAAATGCTCAGAAAACAATCTGTATGATACACACAAAGAAACTATTATCAGTGGCTGCCTCTGGACTGGGGAGGAGTTGGAGTTGAAATGGATTAAAGAGAAATATTAGCCTTTTATTTTATACATTTCTGTGTTTCATGGTTTTCTGTTTTGAGGGTTTTTTAACAACAGGTTGTATTATATTTCACTTATATACATACCACTTACATACATTTAAAACACAAATTTGGCGGGGAGGGGTGCCCGGTGGCTCAGTTGGTTAGGTGTCCAACTCTTGATTTGGGCTCAGGTCCTGATGTTGCAGTTCGTGAGATCGAGCCCTGCCTCGGTCTCTGTGCTGCAGTGTGGAGCCTGCTTGGGATTCTCTCTCCCCCTCTCTCTCTTTGCCCCTCTTCTGCTTGCACGCTCCCATGCTCGCTGTCTCTCTCTCTTTCTCTCTCTCTCTCTCTCTAATAAATAAACTTAAAAAAAAACACACATTTTTAAGAGTAAATTTATGGTGGTTTGTTCAATTTTTAAAACACAAATGTGACCAAAACCCAACACTTAACAATTTTTAGGTAAAAGAAGAAAATAAAATCCAGCGTCAACTTGTGCGGCATAGTCTTTGCTGACTGGAGCCTCATGCCATTACTCTTGACATTCTAAATGGAAGCACTTCCTCAGATGTAAGTGTGTATTAAAACGGAAAGACGCTTGGGGCGCCTGGGTGGCTCAGTCGGTTGAGCGTCCGACTTCAGCCAGGTCACGATCTCGCAGTCCGTGGGTTCGAGCCCCGCGTCAGGCTCTGGGCTGATGGCTCAGAGCCTGGAGCCTGTTTCCGTTTCTGTGTCTCCCTCTCTCTCTGCCCCTCGCCCGTTCATGCTCTGTCTCTCTCTGTCCCAAAAATAAATAAACGTTGAAAAAAAAAAAAAAGAGTCAAGGAGTTGGAATTTCAAACAGAATCTATGGTTTGCTCTCTCAACACAGACTCTTGGCTTCAGGGGCTGGTGCATGGCCATGGTGTGTGGCTCGAGGACATAACCTTCAGGATGTCGGTTCGTTGACATGAATTGAGTCAACAGGGAAGTCTTGTTTTCACCCTTTTTTTTTTTTTACAGATGACGAAACAGACGCATGGACGGGTTATATGACGTGGTCCAAATTATACAAGCAAAAGTGGTGTTCCCAATTCATTGGATCCCTGAGCCTGGGTTCTGAGATCTTATACCATCAGGCCATCAGCTGATGGCCATCAGCTTCGCATCACAGCCACCAGCTTCATGACCCAGCTCCTCTCCAAACTCCAGATTTCTCATCTGTTAGGTAAGAGTGAAGTGAGATCTTGGATTAAAGAACCTGGCCTACTGCCTGACCCATGTTAAGTGCTCTATCAATTGTAGCTGCTCTTATTATTATTATGATTATCTTATTATATAATGTTGGGGATATAACAATAATGCCAATCCAAAGGCTTCCTTTTTCTGATTTGACCACAAGTTTCTAAAGGTTTCCTTGAGCGTGCCTCCCATTTGCAATGGTTTTTGTGCCACACAGACAAGCTTAGAGCACATCGTTCTGGAAAATCTGTGATTAAAGCAGAGCTGCAAGAAGGGCTGACATTGAAATGCGGGAGGGGCGCCTGGGTGGCGCAGTCGGTTAAGCACCCGACTTCAGCCAGGTCACGATCTCGCGGTCCGTGAGTTCGAGCCCTGCGTCAGGCTCTGGGCTGATGGCTCGGAGCCTGGAGCTTGTTTCCGATTCTGTGTCTCCCTCTCTCTCTGCCCCTCCCCCGTTCATGCTCTGTCTCTCTCTGTCCCAAAAATAAATAAACGTAGAAAAAAAAAAGAAATGCGGGAGACTTGGGGCTCCTGGTGGCTCAGTCGGTTAAGCACTTGACTTTGGCTCAGGTCATGATCTCACAGTTCGAGCCCCGCGTCAGGCTCTGTGCTGACAGCTCAGAGCCTGGAGCCTGCTTCAGATTCTGTGTCTCCCTCTCTGCCCTCCCCCACTCGTGCTCTTTTTCTGTCTCTCAAAAATAAATAAAACATTAAAAAAAGAAAGAGGGCCACCTGGGTGGCTCAGTCGGTCGAGTGTCCGGCTTCAGCTCAGGTCATGATCTTGCGGTTCCTGAGTTCGAGCCCCACGTTGGGCTCTGTGCTGACAGCTCAGAGCCTGGGGCCTGCTTCAGATTCTGTGTCCCCCTCTCTCTCTGCCCCACCCTGCTTGTGCTCTGTCTCTCTCTGTCGTCCAGACATGAATAAACATTTTTTTAAGCATTTAAAAAGAAAAAGAAAGAAATGCAGGAGACATCTCTTTCCTATTCATGGGACGGAGGGCCTGCCAACTTACAAGCAAGGAGAAGGCCTACAAATTGCCACTCTCGAGAATATCTACATTCATGCACATGTGCAGTTTTCTACTGACTCCACCCCGGATCTCAAAAGGGAGCCATACGTCAAAGGCTGTTCACTGATCAATCATCATTTTTGGAGGGTTTGGGGTTTTTTTTTTAATCAATTGAAACCTTGCTCATTGATACATTTTCTGTAATGAAAGTTTAAATTAAGCATTAATGTAGCCTGTTTTGTGAGGGCTTTTAAAGAGCAATTTAAAATAGAAAAAAAGTTTAAATGCTGTCGATCTGTGTGGATTGAGCTACCCGGGGGGAAAAGGTGTGGGACGTGAGCTGCGTGGTGTTGGTGAGCAGCTTTTGCGTTCTGTCCTCTTCAACCTCACTTTGTTTCTTTATCATCATTTCCTCTGTCAACTGGCAAACTTGAAAAAGCTTTAAGGCTTTCAAATATCTGTGGTGACAAGTTGCAAACGAACCTAAAACAGTCATGGTTTTTTTTTCTTTTTCTCTCCAGGTGATTCTCGCTCATGCCTTTCTGAGAAAATGTCATGAATATTTCATCAAACGTGAGAGACAAGAATGCCATCACTGTGAGCATATTTTTGTATTCTATTATTTTGTTACGCAGCTGCTATTGAATTCTTTCTGATAGAGCACCTACTATTATTCAGGTCCTTTGTGATTTTGGTTTTCTCAAGCCATCTGCTCCCCCTCTAACCACAAGAAGAACTTTTAGTTTCCCAAACTACCCACGGCTGAATTCACAAGGTTTGCAGGGACAGAAGTGACCCATTTGTCAGCAACTGCTGGCTTTCTAGATAGCTCTTTGATGATCCCTTGATTCCCACTGTCTTATATGAACACTGCAGAGATACTGACCATTTCTCATTCCTACAGCTCACTTTGTGCCTTGGGCAAGTTACTTCTCCTCCCTGAGTCTTTCTACTCATCTGTAGTAAGGGAATAATGATACGTACTTTGTGGGTCATTATGGAGATTAAATATAGGTAAAGTTCTGCTTGTACTACCTAGTACAGAGTAAGCCAATATTCGATGCCTATTATTATAATTATTTGCCTTAAACTTATCTGACTACTTAAGTAAATGAAGGAGGTGCCATTATAATGAAACGGTTACAAATGAATAACCCTGTTCTATGGGCCTCCAGGCGAACTTGTCCTTTGGGTCAGAATGGCCAGGCTGTCCCTGTGGGAAGTCTCTTCCCAGCTTCCTTAGTGCCTGCAGGAGTGACCCCCGGGGCGTGTGTCAGAGGTGATACGCCTTGGTGATGCCATACTCACCGTGCGGACGAAGACTGGGATTTCAATGTCAGCCCCACCATTTATTAGCTTGGGACTGTGACAGTGAACACTATTCAATCTCTGTTTCTTCGTCTGTAAATTGGAGATCGATTATAATAGTATCCCCAGTAGCTCTTGCAAGGATTGAATGAGACAGTGTCGTCAAACACGCAGTGGGATTCAGTAAACTCTCACTAGTCAGCTTGCTAGCCCAGCCCAGGTGGTGGTCAGAAGGATCAAAGGCATGTGGATTTGCTCTCCTTTCTGTCCTGACAGTTGTATCCCAGCCCTTGGGGTCAAGACAACCTCACCATAGCTTTTTACTGTTTTTAATATTAAGACGTTCTGATATTGAATCTGCTTAAATTAGAATTCCCCTCGGGTGCCTGGGTGGCTCGGTTGGTTACGCGTCCGACTTTGGCTCAGGTCATGATCTCGCGGTTCGTGGGTTCATGCCCTGTATCGGGCTCTGAGCTGACAGTTCGGAGCCTGGAGCCTGCTTCGGATTCTGTGTCTCCCTCTCTCTCTGCCCCTCCCCGCTCTCACTGTCTCTCGCTCTCTCAAAAATAAGTAAACATACAAAAAAATTAAAAACAAAAAAGAATTCTCCTCTACTTAGTTATCCAAAGACAATCATCCTTACTGGTGTTTACTCACAAGCCTTTATAATACAAGCATTGAGTAGATGGATTTGCACATCAATAATCAAAGCTAAGACCTACCGAGGGCTTCTGTGTCAATCACTTGTGTCATTTAATTTTTACATCAATGTTTTGAAGTGCTCTTCTCACTCTACAAATGAAAAAACTGAAGCTCAGAGAGGTAACCTTACCCAGATTTACAGAGCTAATAAGTTATTACATTATTACATTACATTAGCTATTACATTAGCTAATAAGCTAATAGACCCTGTATTTGAATATAGAGAATTTAAATCCACAACTACTTGTAGTATGATATATATCCCTCAAAATGCTTTACCACGTTAAATACCATATATATATATATATATATATATAATTTCAACCCATGTGTGACAGACCTCTCACTGACATATGCCCTGGGGACACCACTCCGGCAGGACCAAGCCCTCCACTTCACCATTGGATTGTCCTGAATCTCTGAACCTGGGCCAAGCTATGGCCATTGTTCATGAAAATCTTTCCATGGGATCGTGCAAAGAAAACAGAGAGGAAATGCTAAAAACCCAATAGCAATCTAGAGCTGACGCACTATATAGAGAATGGGCAGTCTGTCAATCAAACATTCTAGTTAAATCAGAGGTTTTAGCATTTGTGTGGAACATTAAATGTCAGTTCCCAAAGAATATGCATATAATTTCTAAAACCCAAACTGAGCATGTTTTTATCTTTCTTTGGCAATTCAGAAGCATGGGTTGTGTCTCCAGGTCATTATCAGACACATTAGTCACCTCAGTATAAACTACCAGCCAAAAAGGAAAGTGCAATTTAAATGGGATATACCTGGGGCACCTGGGTGGCCCAGTCGGTTGGTTAAGCGTCAGACTTCAGCTTAGGTTACGATCTCACGGTTTGTGAGTTTGAGCCCCACGTCGGGCTCTGTCCTGACAGTTCAAAGCCTGGGGCCTGCTTCGGGTTCTGTGACTCCCTCTCTCTCTGCCCCCCACCCCTGCTCACACTCTGTCTCTCTCTCCTTCAAAATAAATAAACATTAAAAAAAATTAATGGGATATACTGGATTACAGAGAGTATATTGTATTTGACTATTGGCTGAAAGTGTCCTAAGTTTTCATTTCCATATTTCATCGTACTTAATCCGTAATTCATGAGAGCCCTCAGCTAAGCGAAAACCATGTGAATGTTTATTTGCCTAGAATAGTTTACATCATGTTCATTTGTAAATGTGCTTTTTCTGTTGCCTTAGCCCTTGCAACCTTCCTAGTGTGGATTGAAGGATGAGAACTGTGAACACAGAGATGGGCAAATGGAAAAGTCACTGGGATCTGTCCAAAACATTGGCTTAGGAATTTAGGGAACATCAGAAAAATGCCCCACTTCTCAGGGTCTCCCTTTCCTTTATCCTCTACTAACCACAGAGAAACCGCCTCCCTCCCAGCCCTGGGAGTCTTTCTCCACTACTGTATTCTTTCAGCTTCCTTGAGGTTCAGCTTCAACGTGCCAGGAGACCTTAGTTCTAAGTCATCACTTTCTCAATCCCACTGCCCCACGTGAGGTCATTAGTAAAGCCATCTCCAGCTCTAACCTGATCCCTAGTGGGCTGTGTCAGATGAGGGAGTCAGCACTTTGAGAGCTAAGGCAATGCTGACCCTCTACAGATACCTTTAGAGTCTTGGTACGTCTGGGCTAAACAGAGAAAGATTATCTATGGATTCTACTTTATGTATATATATTGTTGGTTCGAAACCTCAGAAGCTTCCCGGGTAAAATCTGAAACTGGCCCAACACACAGAGGGTAAGGAGAGACCTGAGAAAGAGGCAGGCCACTCCAGATTGGTAGGTGGCAGTTTTAATAAGCAGGGAACTTACCAGTCTCCTTGTGGGTGGCCACAAGACAAATAGATCTCCACACCACCTGCCACATCTCAGAAGTTTATACAGAGACCTTAACTGGGTCCAGTCACATACACTGTCCAGATGGTCTTAACAACACATTGCTCTCTCAAGGCTGCATCCTTGAAAACAGCTCTGGCTGTAAGAACCATGGGCAGAAGGTACATTCCAAGGACAGGGGAGGGTTGAGTAGCCTCCAACTGCCTGGGTCTAGTTCCCTGGTCCTGTCCTCTCCATGACCTCCTGCAACGTATTTCCAGTGACTTTATAAACACACAAGTGATTTCTCATTTCAGTATATATGTAAATTCCCTTTGGTTACATTAAAATCTATTTCTGTGTACTGACTACATAATTTATTGATCATCTGATGGTCTTCTTCTTACAAACTAAAAATATTAGAGGCAGCAGTGATGTGGAATTCTAAATCAAACCTTGCCACCCATCCACATCTGGCCAAGGAGACACTAATGGGTGACCTCTGCTATATTCACTGCTATGGTAGACAGAACTCTAAAGATGGCCCTCCAAGATTATTCAACCAAACACAAATCTAGGTATTGTTGTGGGAAAAAAAAAAAAACAACTTTGCAGATGTAATTACATTTACAGATCTTAAAATAGGGAGATTATCCTGGATTATCTGGATGAGCCAAATATAATCAGTGGAGCCCTTAAAGGAGAGCTATGTCTCTGGCTGCTGTCAGTGGGATGTAGCAGCAGAAAGCAGCAAAGAGAAGATGAGGCAGGATCGAACGAAGGTCTGAGAGATATGAAGTGTCTTGAGATCTGAGCCACCCTTGTTGGCTTTGAAGATGGAGGAAGGGAACCATGAGCCAGGGAATGCGGGTGGCTCTAGGAGCTGAGTAAAACCTCCTGTGGGCAGCTAGCAAGAAAACGAAGACCTCAGTTCTTCAACAGCAAAGAACCAGATTGAGCGAACAACCTGAATGAGACTAGAGGGAGAGATTCTGGCCGAAGAGCCTCCAGGAAGGAGCACAGCCCTACTGACACCTGGATGTTAGCCTGTGGGACCGTAAGATGAGCCTACCAGACATCTAACCCACAAAACTGAAAGAAAAGAAATGGATGTTGTTTGAAGCTACTAAGATAGTGGTAATTTGCTACAGCAACAGTAGGAAACTAATGAACTAATCTCCGGTGAGGAGTTCCTGTTTTCCAAATCCTATTCCCTATTTGGTTTTCTTACCAAAATCATCTTTGATTCAATTGCTCACCTTTTCACTCCCATTTACTGGGATATAGAGATAGGTCCATAAAGTCTATGTCCACTCTAAAAATGAGATCCATATCCATTATAAAGTGAGGGTCATACTGAACATCTAATTGTGTGACATTTTTCTGCCATTTACACACTGTTAGAGTGCAGGAAAGTCATTGTATCATAGAAATGCATGGGGCTTTTTAAACACAAAGCCAGTCAGTTTGGAGAGACAAAAGAAAGGCTTAGAAATTCAGTCAAATGCATTTGACCTCAGCTTACACTGAGCTTTTATAGGAAAGAGACCCACTTTTGGAAGTAACCTTTAGGTACCTAAATTGAATGTTGGAAAGTCTCAAACGCTTTCTCAAAGTCCCAGGAATGGATACAGTATTATTTTTCACAAAGCCTTGCAGTGGAAATTGAGTGAATTCAGTCAGAAATGCCAGCAGTTATGGTAGACCTTAAGGAAGCCGTGGTTTATGGCCTTCGACCATTTTGTTCACAGCTTGGAT